CAAAAATACAATTTTATTCCTGAAATAAAAGAAAATTTATTTATTTATTTCACAGTTAAAAAAGCCATAATTCCAAATTTCCAATCAGCTAAAATACATATATATATATATATGTATATGTATAGATTAGAAGAACAGAAGAATTGTTACGGCCAAAGTTCCTCGGAATTTTATGCTTATCAAATGTCGATGTGTATTATTTTCAAATGTATGTTACAAATCAAATCGAACATTTAATATGCCTTCATTCCCCGACGATTGGTGTTATAGTCTATTTAAAAGTTGCCGCACGTTTTCAATACTATGGCCAAAAATCTAAATAAAAAAAACGATCTTCGCCCTTGAGCAAGTCTTGGATACTCACCGTCTAAAGTAAATACATGCATATCGTTCAATTTTCTGTTAATTGTTAACCTGTTAGCAGAACATTTGCTTGTGACTATTCTGACATCGAATATTTACATGACTCTTCTAAAAAAAAACAAAAAAAAAAAAAATCATTTCAAATCGCTTTCTATAGTTTGTTAAGCTTTAGGCGACAATATTCCAACAGTTTTTTTTTTTTTTTCAATTTTGTGCACAAAGTTCTTGTAGTTAGCTATTATATAAGAAAGCTTCAGAACAATTCAGAGAAATTTGCAAAAATTTAGTTTCCGAAATTGAATGGAAATTATGTGATGAAAAAGCAAGGCCGGTAGACAGGAACTAAATTGGTTCGGAACTTCAGAACGGACAAATCGGATATCGTTGTAAACGTAATGATAAAATTACTTTATTCAATACTTGCACCGCGTTCACGTGCGCAGAATATAAGAAAAATCTATATTCGCATAAAAACCTAGACTTAATATTCCCTTGAAAATGAAGTCCAAGATATTTTATTCCATATCGTTGAATAAGTAGTGCAATACAATTGTGCTGCACTGTTCTGTATGCACATATATATATATATATATATAAATTTGTACATACATTTATATTTGTTTGTATGATGTATATGTATGTATTTCGAAAAGTTTTACTATCGACGATTGTCGCACGATCAAAAGTTTACCGCTCTATTTTCAATATAGAAAAAAGTACAATTGTGTTGTGATAGATGTTTGCGACATAAGATAACAATGCCTGTTTTTATACCCATCACCGAAGGATAAGGGGTATATTCATTTTGTCGGAGTGTTTGCCACGCCAAGAAGCAAGTATAAAGTGTAAATATTTTCGATCAGCATCAAATTCTGAATCGATTTAAGCATCTGCGTCTAGCTGTCTTTCCGTCAAAATAATACAAAAAAAAAAAGTGAAACGTATCGAAATCATATTTGGGAGAAACATTAGAAGCTCTGGCACGCAGGTTGCTCTTGAAAGTGGATCAAATCGATCGAAGGACACGCCTATAGTACTACATAAAACGAGAACATCTTTGTTTTTCTAAAGGAAGATGAGAAATGCATTTTTGCTCATTACTCATAGACTACAGCAGACAAATCTGCAACGACTTAAATGTTTATGCCATGAACGATGTTGTAATACCATGCCTACTCAATATTATAGTGTATCAAAAATTTAATTTTTTCTCAATATCTTTATAGGGTGCAGAAGCAAGCTTCAAAAATCCTATAAAGTATATAAACTCTTTGCCAGTTTCAAATTCGGATTGCGCCGAAACATGTGCGCCTGCTCGCCTGTCCATCTGCCCGTCTGCGTTACTGTGCAGTATTTGTGGTAAACATTCTGCCTTAAATTTTCCCATGGACACGCCTACAACGTCCGCACGCCTATGTAACTGTAAAAATTGTGAACACATCTGTTTTTCGTGTTTCTTCCAGCTATCGGGCATGGAAACTCGACTTTTTCTAGAACGACGGTGACGGGTATAAAAGATTCGGTCACGACCGAACATGATTTTTCTACTTGGTTTTTTTTTAATTTTTTATTTTTTATTTTTGTTTCTTTTTTCTTTTTTTATTTGTCTGTTAAAAATCTCTATTTTCGATTTCTATTAATTAGTTATTTTTAGAAAATGAACATTGCAATGTGTTATTCTTTTATTATCAAGGCTAATTCATGCTGAGATTATGCATTTTTTATTTTTTTTATTTTTATGGTTTCATTATTAATGCAACACATTATCTATATTAATAGTTAGGACGCTGTACGGATTCCTTTTGCCCTGAGAGTAGGTTGTGTTTCATTGGTGTTTAGGCTTGAGAGATGAACAATAATTTATGTCGTTTTTAATATATCACTTAATTTAACGTTTTAGCTGATCCCATCAGCAGGTGAATGGATGACTGATGTTGCACTTAATAAGACGTTTGATGTTTCAACGACAACCAAATTAATATTTAGATGACTTGTTTTGTCTGTTTAAATTAATGATAAATATATTAATAATAAGCATTCTTTCTTTTATGAAAAGTGCTTTCAAAATTATTCTTTTAGATGTAATGAAATTTTCTGATAATGGCTTTGCAAAGATAACATGCTTTTGATGTAATCTATACTTAACGAGCTTAGATAATTGAAAAGCATTTGCCGTACGGTAAACAAAAGATGTCAACTATGAAATATACTCGAGAGTTGAGAACTGAAATTGCGAGGGGACACAAGCTATGTATTTAAAACATATATTCATTACATCTTCTATGAAGAAATGAATGGCCGAAATGTAAAATCACTTTTTGCGGGCAAAAGGCTAGTTATTTAGGTGCCACATCTTTTCATCTTTAAAGAAATAAATAAAATCTAAAAATTGTGGACACTCGTCAACCTAACTAAATAAGTTCTTATATTAAATACAAAAAATATATATAGATTTATCAAATCCTTCTAAAGACCAAATATATGCATCGGAAATCTTGTAAAATATATGGATTTTATTAGCGACATCAGATTGATTTAGGTACATTCATGCGTTCTCAAGTTTAGTTTATCGTATTTGAACTGAAAAATAGCTCCAGTTAAATGGGAAAATAGATAAAATCTCTCCTTCAAATGGGAAGAAGCTAAAGATTTCATGAAAGTCTGAATTGATTCTTTTCACTTTCTCAAGATGAACGGGATATCGCGTCAGATTGGCTTATGTATTATATGTGTGGAATTTGCGCAAAAACCTTATTGCTTCCGCTCCTTAGATAAATGGCGTGTAAAGTCAAAAAGTTTTGTCTGTAATCGAGTATAATTTTAAGCGGAATACGATGATGAAATTAGTGAAGCGTCGCTCTTTGGTAGCGAATAGAATAGATAAAGAACTGCTCTTTGGTCGAATAGAAGTAAAACAATGAATAGCGTATTTTCGTAGCCTTGTGAAAAAGAAAAGGAAACAATTGTCGTAAACGATGTGCTATCTTATATGCTATTATCGTGTACCTTATGTTTTATATTTACGATTATTGGTGGTTTTACTATCATTTTATTATTAATGTACGTTATTATTAAATTGTTTTTCAATCATTTGCGCCGTCGTCGCTTTTGCAATTTTAAAATTTTAAAATCGCGTTCTCTTTCGATTTTCATATGTTAGATCTGTTTCTAATAATTTGCTTTCAACACCTTCTCTCTGAGAGGCCGTATTTACGCAGTTTAGTTTGTTGCCAATAATTTCGATACAGTCGTTGATCTAAAGTGCACTAAAAGATATTTTAGCAAAAGCGTGTCAGAAGGGGTGCGAACAACTAATTCAATTTATTAAATTTAATTAAGCATTTGTTGTCGCTAAATCGATTTCAATTATCCCTATCTTTTGACACTTTTACATAATTCTATTTCCTTTTTAATGCACTCAAAAGTTTATGAATTTACCGCACATAACGTTAAGCAATGAATGGCAAATAAAATTGTAATTTTAAACGCGACATGTCTTAGGAACTTTTTATTTTCCTCTTTAAATAGAAAATAATTCGTTGAAAGAAAATATTTAAATGCTTAATCGTCTGGGTAACAGCTTGTCTTCTTGAAGAAAATCGGCACCGTGTGTGCATTTATGTGAGGCATATATATATATATATATACATACGTATTTTGTTTTTTTTTGCTTTTTTTTAACTATAGAGATATATAATTAGAATTTTTACGAAATGGGATCAGCCGAAGCCTTTGTCGATATCGGCCACGGAATGTACACTTTTGGATCGAAAAACTTTCTGAAACAGAATCTGACAAACACAAGCGTTTAAATCGGTTAACCGGGAATACATCTAACTTAAAAAATCGGTAGCGCGTATTTCTACTTATGCCAAAGGCAATGAGAAAAGTACGTCCGCAACCTTAGTAGTGTAATGAGCAAGAAATATATAAAAATGTTTTCGTATAGACATCAAAAACAGTATACCGATTACGGTCCATTATTAAATACTGTTAAGCATTTCGCTTAATACAGTTATTCTGCGTACGCAAAATAGGCCCGATTCGTGATTGGGTATCAAAATAAAAATTCACCAAAATATCCCAAAATGACTCATGGATTGAGCGCAAGCATAAAAGACGGACAGACAAGCTTAGATCATTATAATAAAGGACACAAATTTTATATACTCTTGTCCAATAAATGGTGCAGGATATAAAAAACATCAAGGTGCTACCACATGCGATTACTGCATTCATAAAGTCAATGATGCACAAAATGTTGAATTTGAATGGAATTCCAGACTGTTTAACAAAATAAGATTAATTATCGTTCCGACTCTTCAATTGATACCCGACTTTGTTGAATTTTATTTGATAATTAATAAAATGCCAAGTTATATGACTTTCTTATAAGAGAATTCTTTCGTTTTTCCCATTAAATTGTCATTGCTTTTTGTTTATCGATATAATCGCAACTTTTTGTTTATTGTTTGGCAAAGATATCGGTTAAGAAAAAAAAAAAAAAAAAAATTGTAGCCGAAAATAATTCATTAGATTAAGTGCCAGTTATGAGCATTATTTTTCTAATAGTTTCAGCTCTTAAGCCCAGATTCGAATATAATAAGTAATATGATTGTATGTACATTTTATTGCAGAGTCTACGCACGGCGTGGACGGCCCTGTGTCGTGGCGTTTAACGCTCGATCAGGATCTTATTGACACGCTAAAAGGCAGTTTTCCTAGTTGGTTTCAACAGACCGCAACTACCACAACGAATCAAGGTGTTACTAGTAGCGCAACAATAACAGCCACTGCCGCCAACACTATCGCAATTAGCAAAAATATTGACATTGATCATCAGCAAAACGAAGCTAGAAATAATAATAATAATAATTTCGCAAGCGGTAATTCCGGTGCTATTGGTATCACATTGATAAATAATACCGTTTGTGCCTCACCGATAACTATTGATAGTAACAGTTATCTAAAAAGTGGCAATAATACAGGCAACAACGTCGGCAATAAAACTAATATAAACAATACACTCCATTTACATCAATTAACTGGCAGCACGTCATTGTTATCCTCCTGTGCATCGTCAACCCTATCGGTATCGTCGTCGTCGTCCTCTTCATCATCATCGTCTTCTTCATCATCGTCGGCGGCATCACCAGCATCGCTGGCAAACTCAAATTGCTCGGAAAATATACAGTCAACGATCTCATCTAAAAAGTCGCAAAGCAAAACTGGTGGAGCAAAATCGTCGCACTTGTCAACTTTAAAAGCAAATTGCTTGCTATCGTCATCCTCTTCGTCTTCCTCGTCTTATTCGTCGTCATCGTCATCTATATCATACACATCTAAACAATATATAAAGACACCAAAATCGTTATCCTCGTCATCGCCATTTTCATCGTCATCGTCTTGCCCTTTGTCATCGTCCCCTTGTTTAGCAGTTTCAGCTGCCACAGCAACACGTGTAATTCCAAAATCACCGTCATTGCACAGCCTGGGTGGTTCTTTACTTGCAACATTCTCATCATCGGGCTCAGCAACGTTTGAGATAATTTCCGACTCGTCGTGCAACGGTTTGCTTACATCGCATTTGAGTGGCAAGAGTGCATTCGAGCACTCATTTCAAGACGTTATCTTATTGCAGGAAATCTACGACGATATGTCAGAAGGTATGCTCTCTCAACCCCATAATAAACTCTTGAATATAAAAAATTAACTAATTTAACTTAAACTTATTTAATTTATTTATTATTATTTTATTTTTTGATAGGTGAACAACGTTTAAATACATCTTTTTTGAGCGGCAGTAGTGATGATGGCACCAATTCCGATTTTTATGATCCAAGACAATCCCCGCCTAAGGCGATTGTTGATTCCAGCCCTTTGCAACCCGCAATGGATAAAAACAAAGAGTGTAAGTTTTTCTTCTTTATCTTCAGTTCATGAAAAGTCTCTTTCGCAACAAAGATTTACGTAAATCTCACAAGTGCGTATAATATAAATGATTTGATCCTTAAATTTAGAGATTCTGATAAAACCACAAAAGTACTTTAAAGCATACAAGTAAGAAAATTATATGCGGTCATGACCGAATCTCTTGTACGCATCACCGTGATCCAAAAAAAAAAAAAAAAAACGCGAATACGTTTTTATAGTTTATAATATTGGGTGAGCGCGGTTGATTTTTTCCATTTTTGTAGAGGTAGTACTGCATCGCCCATGGAATATACGGCCAAATTTTTGTAGATTTATCTGCTGTAGGTTATGAGTAATGAACAAAGAAAACAATTTCGTATTCCTTTTGTAAAACAATTCTTCGTCCGATTGGATCGATTTTCAAGATGAGCATGCGTGCAAGCGCTTTCAATGTTTCTGCCAACTTTGAAGACGATAGACTCATTTTTGCGGCCAGGAGACAGTTCATAATAGACAGTACGTAGACGGACAGACGGATTTGCCTAAATTGATGCAGACTTTTATGCTAATCATGAATGTACATACTTTCTGGGGTCTCTGAAGCTTGCTTCGGGGCGATGCAAACGTTTCGAAAAAATGAATATACCTCTCATCCTTCGGTGATGGGTATAAAAGTAAAGTGCTTTCCTTAATTCTCTGAATATATTGCTGAGTTTTAACATTTCATTTTGTGCTGTTTGTTTTTATCCCAGAATTATTTTTCTTTAGTCTTTAAGAGAAATTTCAATTCTTTATATCCATCACTTTAGGATGAGGAGTGTATTCATTTTGTCGGAGCGTTTGCAACGCCTAGCAGCAAGCTTCATAGACCGCATAAAGTGTAAATATTTTCGATCAACAATCAAATTCTGAATCGATTTAAGTATCTGCGTCTGGCTGTCTGTCCGTCTGTATAATATTTGTTGTACACATTCATTCTCCTGCTCGCCAAAGTGAAAATATCGACTTTATATATGGAATGAACATTGGAACTTCTTGCACGCAGGTTGGTAATGAAAATGAGCCAGAACGATTGAAGCACACCCCATAGCACCATATCAACTGAGAACATCTCTGTTTTTTAAAAGCAATGAACAGTTGGTTTCTTGCTCATTACTCATAAACTGCAGCAGATAAATCTACAAAAATTTGAATGTATATTCTATGGGTGATGCCGTAGGTAGGATCCATGCATAAAAATGGAAAAAAATTGACCACACCTACTCAATATTATAGTGTATTAAATTTTAATTGTTTTTCAATACCATTATAACAGACAGAAACAAGCTTCAAAATTCCCATAAAGCATACAAATTTTTGGCCAATCTCAAATTTGAAATACACCTAAACATGTCCGCCCATTTCGTTTGTACATCTCTCTGTACACTGTATGAATACTTTGTAGTATTCGTAGCAAACGTTCTCTCGTTAGTCATAACGAAGATGTTGCGTACAAATTTGCAAAAGAATTTGACGTTGATTTAGATTTTTTAAAGGACACGCCTACAACGCCCACATGCCTATACGATAAAGACTTTTGTTTTGAAAATAGAAAAATTCAGCTGCGCCCACACCAGATTATACAGCATGAAAATGTTGTTCTTTTACTTCTTTTGTATCATTTTGCGGTAAACGGTGATGGGTATAAAAGATTCGGTCCCGATCGAATTTAATTTTCTTGTTGTTACTTGTTTTTTTTTATTATTTTTGCTAATGCAATACAATGTAACGGAATGACAATTGTTAGACAGTAGGACTTACGCATTGCTTCACATTTGTGACAAGAAGATGATTTCCGTTTACATTTTCTATTCGAGTTTTCTATTAAATTTCAAGTCAGAAATCACATAACATACACAAAAACAATAGCATAAACGTACTAAGGGAACCCTACTCCGCTTTTCGAACAAAATTCCAATATAGGTTATGTTCTTTAAATACGAATGAAGTTATAACCATCTTGTTGCTTTTACAGTTGTGGAATTGCATCGTTTAGGGCAGACAAGGTCAAAATGTCTCATAAAACATTCAAATGTATTCAGCATTGGTTTAGTCTGGTCGAATCACATGAGATATATTGACCATGTAATTGGTCATTGTCGTTGAATCCGGACCAGGCTAATGATGATTTTCCCATTTTCGGATTTTAAAACATTGTTGATTTCGTATTTATCTGTCTGCCCATCAAAAGATAAGGGCACACCACGTTTATCAATCGTGACGATATGCTTAAAAGCAATGGTTATGTAACTAAAAGAACTTCAAAGGCAAAAATACAAATTTCGAACTCCAAAGTATGTTAAACGAAAAAATAAATACTTACTGCTATAAAATATAGTCTGTGAAATACTATAAAAAACTTTGGGGCAACTGAAAGAGCTCGAAGGAGTAGCAAAAATTCGTAAATCTTTCATACAACAAGTTAAAAAATAATTGTGAGAAATATTCATGAAATTAAGGAAATTAACTTAACCATAATTTGCAATAATAAAGTATTGATGCCAGAATGGAAAGCAGCTTGACTTCACGGCTCAAATTCTATGCACGTAATTCAGTAAAGCATAATGTATGCGATTGAGTTTAATGGAGAATTCTCTTGTTTTTATCTTTCCATAGCGTTATAAAACAACAAGAAAATTATATTCGGTCGTGATCGAATCTTTTGTACCCATCGCAGTCAGTCTAGAAAAAAAGGAAGGGAATTAATTTAATTTTTATGCTCGAGAATATTGGAAAGGCGCAAGTGATCTTTTCTGTTTTCAGTGTAAAAGTTGAAATTTAGATGGCGTGTATGTTATGCTTTAGGAGTAACAAGAAAAAAACACGGAAAGCAAAAGTGTTCGCAGTGGACAAAGTTTTGTTATATAGCCAAAGGATACGCCCACACCGGCCACACGCCTATACGACAAAAAGTGTTATTTTGAAAATGCAAAAAATTAACGACATCCACGCCCTACTATAGAGCATGACGATTTAGAACTTTTATTTCTTTTGTTTCTTTATATTGGATAATGGTCATGAGTATGAAAGATTCGGTCGCGACCAAATAAAATTTTCTTAGAATTTTTTTTTTTTTTTTTTCTTTCTCTTGGAATTAAATTTAGCATGTTTAACTTTGGGTAATTTTGGCAATACAAACTCTATCATGAGATACTCTGGCTATAGCGTGTGTGAAGATAACAGTCCATAAATTGACATTTGTCAATTCAATTTAAAGTAATCGCGTTTAGAAAATGAACCAAAATCCTGAAAATATACGCTGTAATAAACACTTAATCACTTCTCGATCAGACTGTCTATATTGAATGTTATTGAAATCAACAACAGGAAAAATGGTTCGCTGGTCGACCATTAGTTGATAAAGTCGATCAAATATTTTAATCAACAGGTTCCATCTTAAAAAATTAAAAAGTGTTGAGTAAGAAGCAGTTTTAAATCATTTCCATAAGCCTAGGTAGAAGAAGACACTCGATATGAAATGAAACAAAATCGAGCAATTTTTAAAGAAATTTATAGCGTGCGCCAGTATTATGCAAACATATCATGGCACAAGGTGGGTGGGTAAAGCGAATTGAAGTCAAATAAAGTAATGATTCGATGTGTTTGGCTGGATAGGAAGGGAACCATGTGTTATCAGGTGTTCAAAGCCGGCTAGAGGATTGATTCCATAGCGCATAATTAAGGTAAAGCGTTCTATATTGATGAAGAAGGAAAAACACAGATCACATACATCTTTCATGATTCGCTTATGTTACTGCATAAGTTTCTTAGTGGTTGACTTCCAAAAAGGCTTGCAGAGATTGTTTGATTCAGTTTTTCGCCTAAAAATCGCAACAGTGCTGCAGCAATAGAAAAAGGTTTTTGCCAAAAAAGTCGCAAAAACCTATCCGATATCATGAAGTAAATTTGAATTTTGAATTGGGAAAATTAAATTCAATCCTCTTCTGACGACAATGGATACCAAACAATCAGATTGATCAGATTGATCAATACGGTTCTTTTTTCATTTTGTTGCTTCGGTGATCTTCCGAATATAATATATTTCACAAATTCCATTAACCATTACTAAGCAGTTCTTCTTCTTCCCATTCAGATATGCACATTGAAGAACAACTGAGTTGACTTTGAAGGCAGCAAATTAAATTTTGATTATATTATTATTGCTTTCCGTTCAATTATTTGTAATGCTTTGCATTTTGCTCAAAATGTATATGCATGGGTAACTTTTTTGTGATATTTGCGAAAATGAATACATTGTAACTAAAACATTAAATAAACTCAGTAATTCATCATTATGTGCAAATTTAGCGATTGACCATTGCGATAACCACGTCCTACATTGTTTCATATCATTAAAGAAAGTTGCTGAAAAAAAAAAAAACAAGAAAACTTAGAGCTTTTCCGAAGCTTAGGAAAACTAATTCCAATCGTTCCATTTAATTAAATTGTTATCACATTTTACGATGTTTACGATGTAAACTAAAATGCTTTGCGGTCAGAATGAATGTCAATTTGCGCAGCTCTTAATTGAGGAGAAGACAAACTAAACCTTTCTGAATATCCACACTTTTATATCGAATAACTCTTGCATGTTGTTGTCCAATATGTAAAGTTCTGAGAGATTTGAGAGATAAAAAAATATAATCCGCGCTAATATCTTATCGATATAAGTGCTCCTAAAGGTCTATAAAGAGGCATGCTAAGACCAGATTCAATTCTATTATGTAAACATATACGCAGGGCAATCAATTATCGCCATAAACTGTGTAGAGGGATAACGTACAGCAACTATTTAGAATAGCGATGTTTTAGGTGACTTTCGAAATGTTAAGGGAAAATTTCCACCGCTATTTGTTAGATTTCTAAACCTCAAGTCCATCGTGAATTAAAAAGGTTTAAAGAGAAGAAAAGAAAAAGAGGAAGAAAAATATTAATATTCACGCACTTTCGCCGTTGAACAATGATTTGTGCGCCGATAGTATTTCTGAGCAGTTTTTTTTTTTTATTTTTTTTTCATTTTTTTTTTTTAAATTTGCTTAACGTCACATTAGTATTTAAGACAGATTGCATTAAAATAAATTAAAAAATAAATCGTTTCTCTCTGGAAATTCATTTCGATGGACGCCCACTTCTGCGCTTATTTTCCATATGTCCTTCATGTTTGAATTTAAGTATGACCGTGCTATGATGTTTTGGCAATTTCGGCATACGGTTTTTGTTGTTTTATTTTTAAATTTATTATTTCTTCTCTTTCATCTAAAGATAGCTTTCTCTACGTGACATTTTTTAATACGAGTTTCTACTTAATTTCGCTATGAAAAAGTTCTCCTTTACAAGAACAACTGACAATTATGGAGTATAAAAATAAAAATTAGTCTTCTTTTACTTCAATAAAATGTAAAAAAATGATAAAACATCAATTTCTGCAAGTCAACATATGCCTCCGCATTCCGTTTGCTGGGCACAAAGCATATTTGACTTTCGTGACCTCATGCTCCATATGCAATTCATACCATAGGAGAGCCACCGCGCCATGGTTTCACTTGTAGCACGTTACTCGAGGACGTACCTCCAATATTCATGGTGGCCATGAACTCTGTTCAAATTAAACTTTTCCTCATCACCAAATATGATATTGTGGAACTGTTGCTCTCTAAAAATGAAATTTCTATAGCTAAGACTCATATCGTCCTTAAAATGTCGTTGCACACGCTGTCTCGTCTCATTTAGGATTAATTCAACCTTTAATTGCCTGCAACTAATATATTCGTTAGTTGCCAAATAGCGTATACGCAATCATTATTCGAAAGTACACTTCCACGTGGCATTTTCAATTAGTAGCAAACCTACAACAACACAATTATTCCTTAAAATATATTCACAATGCCTTACTTTTTATTTACCTACGATGGATGCGATACTTTCTAAAAACACAATATAAAAATTAAAATTTTCGCTTTCCAGCGACATAAACTCAAATGATAATAATAATTGCACATTAATAATTATTTTGAATTGACTTACAAGCCTACTCCGATTATTTTGGCTAATGCGAGCACAGCGTAAAGTTGAAAGAAGAAGAAACTACCTAACTAACTAAGGAACAGCGTGTACACATACAAAGATTTATTGCAAATTTTTGACGGAATAAATGTCCATTCACTTAGTGTAAAGAAGAAAAATAAAAAAAAAATATGTGTTAATAGAGAGAATTCGGACACATCTAGCTTTCGTAAAATTTAAAGAGCGCACTGCATGACTGTTAGGATACGCAAAAATAAGTCCAATAATCAACTACGTTCGCTCTTAATATGCTTTGCTTGATGTGGTGGGCCGATGTTTGCGTTGAATACGTGCGGTTTGTATGCCGTTATTTATTTGAATGTATTTAAGCAGGTGGGTGCAACAGACGTGTACGTACGTATATAAGTTAATGTGTCCAGCGAATTTATTCTATTGATTTTGTTCAAATAATCTCGTCGTTATTTGTCAATTTATTACGGATTAGTCTTAATGACGTCAATTCAAAACTGAATGGAATGAGAACGAGAAATGAAACCAATTTTCGATTAATAAGCCACGTTCGATTAAAAAGGTGTTTCAAATTAAACACATCAGTGCCATATGATGCTCCATTCCGAGAATAAATAGATGCAAACAGCGAGTATTTTTTCCGAGTAAATTGTAAATAAATTCGAGCCATCAGCGTGAGTTTCGCTCACTTGTACAAAGGTTTGCAATTCATTTTGGCCAACATTTTGACAGAGAACTTTTTTCACATTTCCAATGTTGTCTCAGACTTTTTCCTATTGTATGCATGCAATAACGACAACATAGTCGTCAATCGCAAAGAATAAAATGAGACGCATAAACAAACGAATTTGATTATATGAACGCAGATGTACGAATTGAATGTCAGTAGATTCCAGATTTAACGCAAAACTTCAGGTTTATAAATAAGTATTTAAAGGTGTTTTATAGTTATTTTAAGGCTAAGATGTGTGAATATCTGTGGAAAAAATGTATTTAATGTATTGCTCATGATTATTACGTCAATGAACTAAATTGCAACAACTTTTATATTCACTACAAGTGATGCTGATGGGGTACTAATTTTAGTATACCTAACGTAGCTAATGTGCCGTAAACAGTTTAAGGGAGGAAGACACTGTGATAGCTTAAAAAAGTCTTTCTTTTTTTGTCAAAATGTTTGCAACGCTCAGAAAGAGGAAAAAAACAAAAACCTTTCATGGACTGCGTAGGGATTTTTTCAAAATATTTTGTTTTATGTTTGATTGGCGACTTTTTAAATAGAAAAGTCCAATTTTTGCTAAATTAGTATAAACATCCTTTTGTTAATAAACAAAGTTGAAGTATGTACTGCACTAGAGAATGTTGTCTGGAAGATATTGTGAAGAATTCTAGGAGAAAACCAATTACGAATTATGTTATGTTATGTTTCCATGCAAAGGATTTGTTTAGTTTTGAAATCCGTTATAGACATGTTTTCCTATTTTAACAAATTTTTTATTATTTTGCTTTTCCATTAGCCGACAATCCCTCGGAGGCGTAAAACTGCGCTTTCAAGTTCAAATATTTTTTTTCATCCTCTTTTGACCGATTTGATTCATTTTAAATGCCAAACTGTCATTTTTTTGCCAAATTTGAAGCGGGTATCTTAATTTTTGCGACTCGGAGTACGTTTATCATTCGTAGATACAAAGGCGCATAGGCCAGATGGGCATCCCTAGTTTGATTTAAAATTCAACGCTTATCGGGAATATATATACATATAATAGCGTCTCTGAAACTTCTTCTTCTTCTTCTTCTTTTTCTGGGTGCTCTAAACGTGTTAAAGAAAGGCACACGTACCTTTTCCTCGGCGGCGGATACAAAACTTTTCTGGTATATTCTACGGATAATCCTATAGTACTTATAAAAAAAGCAAACAACCCGCCATACCCATCCAATATTATAAAATATCAAAACTCCATGTTTTTCGTTTTTTCATTTTTTGATGGGTGGGCGCAAAATATTTATCCACAGCTGAATTTAATTAATACCATTGTAAATTTATTAAAAAAAAAGTTTTTTTTTTTTTAATTCAAATCCCAATTCAAATGTACGTAGTCTGCACAGCTCCTTCAATTGAGGATGCCCTTACGAGAACCGCTCCGATCAATATTCAACATTTTTCTAAAGTATTTCTTTTTTTGCTCTAGCAATTAAAGGTATGCTTATCTTAATAACCTCCTCGAACAGTGCTATTGTGTTACCCCAAAAAGTTCGCCAAAAATACCCCTTTTCTTAGACTCTTACAGCGATGATATCCCCAAGGTTAGGTAGAAAATACATTTTTGATACGCTTTGACAGTTTTACATGCTTTGGCTTTTAACACAGAATAGCAGAAAAATTGAAGTGAAAATGTTTTTGTTCTTCTTCATTTTTCATAGCATAGGAAAACCTTCGCAAAAATGCTTCTTCCCCTCGGGACTTGATAAAATAATTACTAAATTGTGCTATTTAATTTTCCTATTATTTTCCTATATCTGAAGGGTGGTATAAGGGGCGGGAGGCGAGGTTCCATTAAGCCATTGAGACACCGCAGCTATATTATATATGTAAATGTATGTACGTTGCAATGCAGTATCCCAATGCATATAAAAAACCTTTTGCTTTAAAGTTCTTCTCGTTAAATTGCGACGGATGAGTTCGCAAAATATCACCTAAATGACTTCATAAATCCCCATAGTGAAAACTTGGGGAAAAATTGAATTAATTCCTAAGTGTTGTTATTGTATAGACCATCTATTGCTTAGCATATTGAACTTGCTTTACAAAACCATGCTTACAGTACTGGTATAGAAAAGAAAACAAAACGGTAATAAATGAGAATGAGAAAATTTTGCTTTCATTTTATAAAATGTGCGACATTCCAAAAAAAAAAAAAAAAAAAAATTATTGAAGGATATCAGAAATTCTCTTACTTTAAGTCAATCTTATTCATTTAAATATTGTTGTTATATAATATTTCTTTAATATATATATATGTATATATATTTGTTTTCATCTTCATATAAATGGCCATGCATTGCTTGTTGGTTCTGTTCTTCTTCTTCCTCTTTTTCTGGGTACATGCATATGTAAAATTGATAAACACTGCAGCACTTAAAGTCAAACTAATGGTTAGAAGACCACACTCTCAACTTGTTGAACAAGGCATTATACCACGTAAGTACACACTATAGATTTATACAACTTTTACATCGTATTGGCAAATAAATTGTTTTCCTAATTGTCACAAAATAATTTCGTCTTATTTAGTGCTTTAAAATTATATGAATAACGCTAGAATCACATTTTGGGAGTTGCAATTAATTTACCTCTCAAAATGCAAGATATGTTAAGCATAATAAATAACAAGTGAAATAATAACAAAAAAAAAAAAAAAAAAAATAAAGAAAAGAGAATATTGATAATAACTATCACTTGTTTCTATATTCGTTGGTATTGTTGCTGCGAGCGAGTGTTTTATATATATAAATATCTCTCCTACATATGAATTATGCAACATTTCTTTAAGAAAATAAAATCTCACATTAAGTGCAAAATTCGAATGCATTCAAATATTTATATGAATCAAACTAAAAGAATTTTTTCAAATGTTACATATTAATGCGCTAATACTTTGTATTTATTTCTACATTATTGTTGCGAAATATTGTGCTTTTTCTTGCACAGCCCGTGACGTTAGTCTGTTGGTAGCACAAGTAATGACCACTGCACTGGCGGCGTTTCTTATTGCGAATTATGAAAACGTAATTTTCATATATATATATATATCTGCCGGTCTCTATAAATATACACCCACATAAGTATGTTTGTGTAAATTTTTTTGTAGGCAAATACATCTGCTTTAAAAATGCAATTTTATTTGTTCGGGGTGATGAAGAAACGCTCTCGTCGATCAGTTATTGCAATGCGAAGAATTTTCTGAGACTTGATTCTTTAGACTAGTAAAAGAAATTTTTGTTTATTCTTCATTTTCCGCAGCTTTGAAAACTTCTCCCGCCATACATAAGCAGTGTAAGCAATTGGAACGTGCCAAAACTAGTGATTTGTTAAAGGCCAAAATTCAGCAGAGGCCTAATCGTGAAGATCTTGAGCGTCGTCATATTTTGGAAGAAGATGAATGTCATATTGATCCAAGTTTGGCTGAGAAGCAGCGTATGCTCAAAAAGGCTCGTTTGGCGGATCAGTTGAATTCACAAATTCAACATCGACCGGGACCTTTAGAGTTAATTAAGAAGAATATCTTACATACAGAGAAACCGATTGAAAAAATTGTGAAGGAGGGCTTGGTAACATTTAAAGCCACTAGCGAGGGTTTGCTCACCCGGCCTCAGCACCCTAATAGTTATGTCACATTTGAAGATGACTCGCAGAGCTCAGAAAGTGACAGTACTAGGCAAACGCCACCTAGGAGCGAAAATGTTGAGCAGACTACAGGTCCTAGCGAGGCATTGCAAGCAACTCCCCCTTCGAGGGGCATTGTTACTTTGGCTTTAGCTATACCAGCCACGGGTGGACAAGTGATGGTCACATCAGCCCCAATTATGCAAACAAAATTGCCCAATTCGAAATCCAGTTATGTGCCACCACCGCCTCCACCACCAATGCCCAACACTATTGGCATTAAAGTTAAACAAGAAACGGCGAACTTATATGAGGAATTATGCCAATCAGTCGCTGGGTCGAACTCTAATTATTTACAAATGGTTGCTTCTCCTGGCTCCTTAGCGTCTAGCACGTCGACCTTAAGTCCTTTGTCATCGATTGCTTCACCACCGCATTCGGTAACGTCCAGACCCATAATACAGTCACCAGCTTTGCAAATTGCTAAGTCCGATGCACCAGGAAAAGATAAAAATCGAAAAAAATCCAAATCAAAATCGGTTTCCAAAGCCAGGACTATTAAATTTCACGAATACAAAGGACCACCAAGTGCTGCACATAAAACTACGTTAGAAAATGCAACAACCAGCGAAGAGACTTCTTACCAGTTGATGTTGGAGCAGCAGAATTGTTTGTTGAAGTTCCTAGAAACACTTAACAAGAATCAGTCCATTATACCAGCAACCAGTGGCCCTAATACCACACCCACATCTAGTGTTATAAGCACAGTTGGTAAATCTGGAAGTAACGTTATTAATACTGTAACAACAGCCACAGCTAATTCGAGCAGTACTCTAGCGTTATCGTCGCCAGTGTCCAACGCATTAACTCCTATGCAAGGTATAACGACTGAAATAGCAAGTCCATCTTTAAGTACTCAAAACGCAAACGTAACGGTCATTAATCAAGCAACTTTGGGCAATAACCAATTTGTGAAAGCTACTGCCCCCAGACCTCCGCCTTCACCTTCACCCGCTCTCTCTGTATGTTCTTCTGTACCGCCAAGTCCAGCTACAAGCTACACCGAATCCACTACTTCGTCAGTGTCTGAAGTAGCCAAACTGGAGAAAATGAAAGTTTCTGATTTGAAAAAGCATTTGAAAAAGCGCAACTTGCCGGTTTCAGGTCCCAAGCCTCAATTGATAGAAAGGTTAAAGCCCTTCTTACCTTTAGACACCTTAGAAACTACTCCTACAATTCCAATAAGTGGAAATAGTGATTCATCAAAATTATCGTCTGTCGTGGAGGCTATGGATATTTGCTCTGCGGTAACAGTAGATGTACAAGATACTCGTTCCATAGCCATGTCGCCAGAGCAGCTCAACTTAGAGCACGAGCAAATGGACATAGTTCAGCAATTAAGCTCACCAAAATCTTTACCCTTGCAAACAGTAATGCAACCACAGCCCCAAACAGCTACAATAATTCTTTCAAATGAGGAGCTACTAAGGGAGCAGCAACGGAAAATTGATGAATTGCAAAGACAGTTGCAAAAATCTCAACAAGAATTACAGGAGATACGACAAAGACAACAGCAACATCAACAACAGCAACACCAGCACCACCAGCAGCAGCAGCAGCAGCAGCAGCAACAACATCAACAACAACACCAACAACAACAGCAACAGCAGAGAATTCAACAGCAATTTCAAAAGCAAACTGTTACTGCGCAAGTGGTTAATGCTTTGCCTGCACAACAGATCACGTTGATTGCTACGACTACCACGACCGCTACGACACCCCAAAATGTTAACGTCTTTCAACCGCAAAGTCAAGAGACGTTGGGATCAGCTAAGGTAACGGTTAAAGCACCAAGTGTAAAATCAATTGCGGCCCCAACGCCAGTTTTTATTAAAAAAGCTGCATCGGTAATTCCTAGTTCGACAATTCAGTCTTCAAGCGCTACTCAACCCATGACGCAGAAAATGGTGGTCAAACAACAACTAGAGGCTAAAATACAAAAACAAAAGCAAGCAGCTGCGGCAGCTGCCGCCGCTGCTGCTGCTGCTCAAGCGCAGGCACAGGCTCAAGCGTTGGCACAAATGCAAACTCAATCATCCAACCAGACTCAGCCTCAGATTCGTCTATTAACACAAAAGACACAGACTGTTCTCATTCCAACTGGACCTACTTTGACTACTACAACAGCCGCTAGCAAATTAGATGATAAGATAAATGTGCAGAGATCTAGAATGCCAATCTCGAAACCCACCATACCGACGTCAACTACCGCAACTATCGTAGCCAATCAACTACCACTAACAAAGACCCATAATAATCTAGGTTTGGTGTGGAACGAAGGCAATCAAACTATATTTTTGGTAGGATTAAATGATCAACATATGACCGCTCACACCATTGGCAATATTAGTTTAGCAAATGCAAATTCAACTACTAAAAAATTTTTGAATGGGCATCAGCGTACCAATTCGCTGCCTAGCATTGTTTTCCCTTTGACAACCGCAAACAATGCAAATTCGACACATCCGACGGAACAAACGGTAATTGAAGCGAAACCCATTTTGACGGCCCAGCAATTGCAAAAATTGCATTTACAGCAGCAACAACAACAACAACAATTCCAACAAATATTGCATCAGCAACAACAACAACATCAGCAAAATCATCAGCAAATTGTCGAAGTCGACATTAAGCCACAAAACTTAACAGCTCCACCGCCTCCACCACCTCTACCGCCCCACTATAAAGAAGCCACAAAAAATTTAAAAATGAAATCCAACAACAGCAATAACGATAACAATCCAATCACTTTGTTAAATTCTTTTATAAAAATAAAAGAAGAGCCCACTGCCATATCCTCCTCAATTGTGGCTACAACGTCCGGCATGGCCAATCAAATTAATGCGATGCAGACAGATGAAAAATCTGCAAAAATTGCTATTAAATCGGAAAAACTGACAGATGTCTTAGATATTTTAGTTAAACAGGGAGAATTACCGGAAAGTGCATTAGAGCCGATAACACCGATTAGCACACCCTTGACACCAGGTGGCAGCAATGCGTTAATGTCTGACTTAACTGATGCTTTAATTTTCCCCGTAGCTGACAATCAACTTAAACAAGAAACGAAGGATAGCAATCGGACATCGGGTTCATTAACAGACGCTCTACCAAAGAACCTAAACAGCTGCGTAGCCATGGACACTACTGGATCCCCAAAAAATTTATCAAATACTTCGGTCGGTGTTTTTGATTTCTACCGTAAATCCAATAATATGAATGCAAGCTTGACTCAATCTAACGCAAACAACTCTCACAACAATAATTTTACTGAAAACATCGACATGGCTTCGCCTCTGCAACCAGATTGTCATTTAGATGCTGAAAGTGTGGCAAAATCTTTTGATATGTTCCTAGAGCAGCATCAAATCCTAGTTAGAGGTGGAGCAGAAGGAGATGGAAGAGCGATGACAACACAACACCAGTCGCCTACACATCACGATATGTTAAGCAAATCCTCCTTTGGAGCAGAGCAACCGTTGGCGCAACTGCATTTATCGTCAGAAGAGGCCAAACTTAATCATTTCGATGAATTTGAATTACTCGAATTAATGTCGCAACAATTAGAAATGGATATTGGGGTTGATTCTGTCGCCTACGAAACGACGAGAAACAATAATGGAAATATACAGTTCCAACAGCTGCATTCCAATGATAAGGCAACTACTACGAATGGTTTGAGGCGACACATGAACCCTAGTCTGCAGCCTTCCATTTCAGAATTATTGCAAAATCATGCCGAGAACCTGAACAGCGGAAATTATAATAATAATAAAAGTGCTGTTACTAGTCCTGTCAGTAACTGTAGTAGCACCGGTAATAGTAACAACAGTATGCAAAGTGCTCTAGAACATCATTTAGATGATTTCGACGCCAGCACATTTGTGCAACATTTACAACAATCGCATCATCAACACGACCAACAACATACAAATGACGTTAATGATAACGAAACGTCACATATGCAAACAAACCACAGCAGCACCACTCCCATGGATGTATGCGATGAGTTTGATAATCCATTGAGTAATTTCAATTTTTCAGCTCTATCACCAGACTCGAACATTAACACACCTCCACATCCCTTTGGCTTAAGCGCAGCTATCAACACGACCATTGCTTCGGCCATTGGTAGTTGTGGAATGCAGGCCACCACAACTGGGTGCAGTGGTGCCGTCGCCGGTTTAACGCCAATCGCCAACGTAGCACACGATGAACAAATGTCAATTTGCAATTCAACGACGTCTGACAGTGCAACTGCCAGTGATGCATTTGGTACTGGCACTACCGATATATTTGATTTATTTAACATTGACGACTACAAAATGTCTTGGGGTGAAGGAGATTTTGCTGTCTAAATGTTAATACAAAATAATAAGATAAAACAATTCGAGAGAGCGAGAGAGAGAGAGAGAGTGAGTGAGTGAGTGAGTGTGTGAGAATTTCAAAAATTTTTTATATCGAGACGTAATAGGAAACCAGTAGGTAACAAAAAACCTAAATTTATGATAGTTCGATCCATTTTATGCTCGCCATAATGATATTTACAATATCGCTGTCATTCCGTTTTTCCAATTGTTGAAGTATTTACCAACTTAATCGCAACATCCTAAGTTTATCTAGTGCTGTGGGCTGAAATTTCGAAGAGAAGTTATGAAATTCGTGTGCGAGCCGAGCCGTTTGATTAACAGCGACGTGCAACATGACACATGCAATATAAATTTTCTATATAAAAACATTGGCGGAATAGTATTACCGTCGCTATCGGATGTGAATCGCATGCAACGTACTCGGTGGTATATATAATTTTAACATTCAGCAATATTAGATATTTTTCGAGCTACAATTATTGATCAGCAAAAGATCAAAAAACCGTAATATGGTATAAATAGGCAGAAGTAATCATTAGAGGTGTGAAAAGAGGCGTGATCTGCCTAGAAAAATGCTTTCACGAGTTGAATGACTAAAGTGAATCATAGCAGAAATGAATCTAAAATTTTATTATATGAAATTTTGGTGTAAAAAATGATAGTTTTCTGATCAGCTCACTGTCACATTCAGAATTACGAAAGGATGATGGATATCCATGGTTCGCTCCAGTCGAATACATTTTTTTTATTGTTTTCGTTTTTTTGAATAATTTGGTTTGAAACTAACACAGCATATAAACTGTTCAGATTAGGTGTGTTATTCATAAAATGGACTTAAATACATACCGGATAGGACAAATGCAAGAATTTTTTAAATGACCATTTAGGTGATGGGTATCAAAAATTTTGGCTTAAGCCGAATATTAATAATCTTGATCTTGCTTACTTACTAATATTTAGCATATTACCTTCAAATTGTAACATTTTATTAGTTAAATTTTAATAGAATCCACATATATATGTATATATATTTATATATATATATATATATATATATATATATATATTTAACAAGAATCGTAATTGTATTTCCCGGTTTTTTAATAAGTTTAAGTGCAAAAAAAAAAAGAAGAAAAAAAAAACATGAAATACGTTTTCAATGAAAATATAATAATTTCCCAGTGAATTGTGTTTTGATGCATTTAATAATAAAAAAATAAAAAAAATAAGAAAAATTCTTGCAAGCAATCCCTTCTTTTCTTTTTTTTTTTTGTTGAGAAAAAAACTTTCGTTTGAATATTTGAAAAATTAAGGAAAAACTAAAGAAAAATATATATAATGAAAAACGTGTTTACCAAAAATTATTATCGTTTCCTAAGAAATTGACAAAAAAAATATAAAATAAAAAAATTGTAAAAAAAAATTTCATATTTTTCTAATTAAGAGCATTCCAACTAAAAATAAATAAAAACAAAACATAAACAAAAAAAAAAAAAAGAAAAAAAAAAGCGTACTAAAAGTCATGGAAGTGTAGAACTGTTTATGGAAGATGGGCCTGAAACGGTGGAAGCAAAGTAACTTTTGGTGTAACGTAATGAATCGTCTCGATTTACACTAAATTAATAAGAAATGCAATGGAGATGTTAAAGTTTTCAAATGATTTTGTCTTTCTCGGTTTTTTTTTTTTTTTTTTTTTTTTTTTTTTGCTTCTTTAAATGGATTGCTTTTTGACAGCTTGTTTAACATAATTCTGACACTTGATTAAGTTAAAGGAGAGAGGAGAACATTCATTAAATATTTAAGAGAAAAGCCAACATAAAAATTAATTAATTAACAGAGAAAGAAAAATAAATTAATGTAAATA